GACAGGTCACTCCATTGAAGAATTCAAAGAGGGTGTACATTTCCAAAGAGAATGAATGACTATAAAAAAAGAGAAAATGTACTGCTCACAGCACAATTCATGCTTACACAGTAACATCTGTTTACGGTGTATTTACACTACCAGTCAAACGTTTGGACACACCTACTGGTTCAAGGGTTTTTCTTTATTTTTTGACTATTTTCTACATTGTAGAATAATAGTGAAGACATCAACACTATCAAATAAAGCATATGGAATCATGTAGTAATCAAAAAAGTGATAAACAAATCAAAATATATTTTATATTTGAGATTCTTCAAATAGCCACCCTTTGCCTTGATGACAGGTTTGTGGGGAGTGTTGGGAAACTACGAATTGAAATGTGTAAGATCAACTACGTAATCTGTATGAGTGTGTGTGTGTTTTTTAATCAAGTTTTCAGTGTGTGTGTGTGTGTGTGTGTGTGTGTGTTAACCGAGTGATCTGTGTGTGTGTGTTTTCAGTGTGTGTGTGTGTTAACCGAGTGATCTGTGTGTGTGTGTGTTTTCAGTGTGTGTGTGTGTGTGTGTGTGTGTGTTAACCGAGTGATCTGTGTGTGTGTGTGTTTTCAGTGTGTGTGTGTGTGTGTGTGTGTGTGTTAACCGAGTGATCTCTGTGTGTGTTTTAGAGAGCATGGAGGCCAGGGCTGTTGGATCTGGTTCTTGTGAAGAAAATAAACACACTTATCTGAGGGGTCCCAAAGCAGGATCATTCAGTTGGTCAGCTAACTTGCCTAAATATTCTGAAATGACTTGTTTATTTTTTTGGAAAGATAAGCTTGAAATGGGCATGGTCTAATTGACTCAAAACCCCCAAAAACATACAGTTTCTAAGTTTAGCTTTCTTAATGAACCAGAAAATCGATAGTGTATATATATTTATTTAATCAAGGTTTGCTGGCTAACTCATTTATCCTGCTTTGTAGTATACACCACTGTTCTTTACCTCAAACTGGAGATGTCTTAAGTCACGCGCCTCTGTACACACACACACACATACACACACACACACACAACACTCGCAGTGCAAAAACACTGTCTTACAGAGAGAGGGAGGGAGAGAGAGAGAGAGAGGGAGAGGGAGGGAGAGAGAGAGGGAGTTAGGGAGAGAGAGAGAGTATTATAGCGATGACTGATTATCTTTGACAAGGGCAGCAGAAGGTCCCTGGTCAGGAGCCTGTCAGGCGTAAAGTACACAACCTTTCATGTGTCTTTCCTACATGCCTTCCCTTCTCCTCCCTCCTCCTCCTCCTCCTCTCTTCCTCCTCTCCTTCTTCTCCTCCTCTAAACCCTCAGCAGGAGAAGGCATGTGGATCCCAAATGGCACCCTATTCCCTATAGTGCACCACTGTTGACCAGGGCGCCAGTTATATAAGGAATATGGCACACCCCTTCTCCTTACCTAAACCCCTCAACAGTCACCGTTCAGCACTGTAGGAAATCCTTCTCAAACACTCCATGTTGTTCCACACCACATGAATAACATGGTCCTTTCATATCCGCTCACTGTGTATTTGTCATGGAACTACATAAGTAGCAATTCACAAATTCCTCCCCTTTTCACACAATAGAAAAACACACACCATCCATCCGCTCTCTGTTTAGTACAATGTCAAGCCTCTGAGGAGAGCGAGGGGAGCGAGGCAGAGAAGGGAGGGAGAGGAGGGAGGTAGGAAGGAGAGAGGGGAGGAAGAGGAGGGAGGAGAGGGGGAGGAGGAGAGGAGCGCGGAGGAGGAGAGGAGAGGAGGGAGGAGGAGGGAGAGGAGAGGTGGGAGGAGGAGGAACTAGAGAGGCGGGGAAGGAGGAGGAAGAGAGGGGGGAGGGAAGGAGAGAGGGAGGGGAGAAGAGAGATCGAGGAGGGAGGAGGAGGAGGAAGATGAGGAGAGAAGAGAGGAGGGAGGAGGAGGGACGGGGAGCGACGACGAGGACGGGAGGAGAGGAGGAGGAGAGCTGGAAGAGGAGAGAAGGCGAGGAGGAGAAGGAGAGGAGGTGAGGAGACGGAGGGTGTGGGAGGTGAGGAGGAAGAGAGAGAGGAGGGAGGAGAGGATGGGAGGAGCGAGGAAGAGAGAGGGAGGGAGAGGAGGGAGGAGGAAGGGAGGCAGAGGAGGGAGGAGGAGGAGAGCGAGGGAGGAGGAGGGAGGAGATAAGTAGGAGTAGGAGAGGATGGAGGAGGAGGGAGGAGAGGAGGATGGGAGGAGAGGAGGAGGAGGAGGGAGAGGAGGGAGGGAGAGGAGGACGAGAGGAGGGGGAGGAGGAGGAGAGGAGGGAGGAGAGGGAGGAGAGAGGAAGGAGGAGTGGAGGAGAGGAGGGAGGAAGGAGGGAGGAGGAGATAAGGGAGGAGAGGAGGGAGGAGGAGGAGATAAGGGAGGACGAGGGAGGGAGGAGATGAGGGAGGAGGAGGAGGAGGGGAGAGAGGGAGGAGGAGGAAGGAGAGGAGGGAGGAGAGGAGGGAGGAGAGGAGGGAGAGGAGGGAGGAGGAGAGAGAGGAGGGGGAGAAGATAGGGAGGAAGCGAGATGGAGGGAGGAGGAGGGACGAAGGAGGGCGGAGGAGGGAGGAGGTAGGCGATGAGAGAGGAAGAGAGGAGGAGGAAGGAGGAGGGAGGAGGAGATAAGGGAGGAGAGAGGAGGAGGGGGAGGAGAGGAGGGAGGAGGAGGAAGAGAGGTGGGAGGAGAGGAGGAGGAGGAGGTAAGGGAGGAGAGGCAGGGAGGAGGAGGGAGGGAGAGGATGGTAGATAAGGGAGGAGAGGAGGGCAGGAGGACGGGAGGACGAGGAGGGAGGAGAGGAGGAGGGGGAGGAGAGGAGAGGAGGGAGGAGGAGGGAGGAGAGGAGGGAGGGAGAGGAACAGAGGAGGGAGGAGAGGAGGGAAGGAGGAGGGAGGAGAGGAGGGAGGAGGAGGGAGGAGGAGGAGATAAGGGGGAGAGGGGGGAGGAGAGTAGAGGGAGGGAGGAGAGGAGGGAGGAGGAGGGAGGAGAGGAGGGAGGAGGAGGAGGAAGCAGAGGAGGGAGGAGAGGAGGGAGGAGAGGAAGGAGAGGGGAGGAGAGGAGGAGGGGAGATAAGGAGGAGAGGAGGGAGGAGGAGGGAGGAGAGTAGGAGGGGAGGGAGGAGAGGAGGGAGGGAGGAGGAGGAAGAGAGGAGGGATGAGGAGGAGGATGGAGGAGGAGGAGGAGGAGGAGAGGAGGAGGGAGAGGAGGGAGGAGGGGGAGGAGCGGAGGGAGGGAGGAGGAAGAGAGGGGGAGGAGAGGAGGGAGGGTGAGGAGGAAGAGAGGGGAGGGCCAGAGAGAGAGGAGGGAGAAGGAGGAGGAGGAGGAACGAGAGGGGGGAGGAGAAGAGGGAGAGGAGGAAGAAGAGAGGCAGCGGAGGAGAGGAGGAGGGAGGGAGGAAGAGAGGAGGGAGGAGAGAAGGGAGGAGAGGAAGAGAGTGGCAGGAAGCAGAGGAGGGAGGACAAGGAGGGAGGAGGAGGACAGAGAGGAGGGAGGAGAGGAGGGAGGAGAGGAAGGGAGAGGAGGAAGAGAGGAGGGAGGAGAGGAGGGAGGAGGAGGAAGAGAGGAGGGAGGAGAGGAGGGAGGAGGAGGAAGAGAGGAGGGAGGAGAGGAGGGAGGAGAGGAATGAGAGGAGGAGGAGAGCAGGAGGAGGAGGAGCGAGGAGGGGAGGGAGAGGAGGGAGAGAGAAGGGAGGAGGAAGGAAGAGAGAGGGGAGGGAGAGGAGGGAGGAGAGGAAGAAGGGAGGAGGAGCGAAGAGAGGGGGAGGGACAGGAGAGGAGGTCGGGGAGGAAAGAGAGGAGGGAGGAAGAGGAGGGGAGGGGAGGAGAGGGAGGGAGGAGAGAAGGAGGAGAGGAAGAGCGGAGGGAGGAGAGGGAGGGGAGGAGGAGAAGGGCGGAGGAGGAAGAGAGGAGCTAGGACTAGTGTTCAGGTAGGGTTAGACTCGGTTAGGGTTAGGGAATCGGGTTAGTGACTAGGTTAGGGTTAGGATCGGTTAGGAATCGGGTTAGGGTATGGATTAGGAATCGGGTTAGGATCAGGTTAGTTAGGGTTAGGAATTCAGGTAGGGTTAGGAATCGGGTTAGGACTCAGGTGAGGGGAGGACGGGTTGGTAGGGTTAATACTGTGTGTAACATGCTGTACTGTAGCATGTACTACGGTTGAGGTTAGGCTAGGGTTAGGGATCCACTAGAGAGGGTAGGGAGGGAGGGAGAGCGACGAAGGAGGAAGAGGGGGACGAGAGGGGATAGAGAGAGGAGATCAGATGAGAGGGACAGAGAGGGGAGATGAGAGAGAGAGGGGGGAGAGGGGAGAGACGAGAGAGAGGAAGCGAGAGAGGGAGAGAGAGCAGATGAGTTAGCGCGAAGGAGGGACGAAGAGGAGATGTAAGGGGGGAGAGAGGGAGAGCAGAGAGAGGGGAGCGAGGGGGGAGAGAGAGAGAGAGGGAGACAGACAGAGAGAGAGAGGGGACAGAGAGGGAGAGCGAGACGAGAGAGGGAAGAAAGGAAGAGAGAATTGAGAGGGGAGAAGGTAGAGGGACGAGATCGAGAGGTGCATAGAGGACGAGAGGGGAGAGAGGGAGAGAGAGAGGGGAGAGGGAGAGAAGAGGGGGGAGTGAGATGGGGGAGAGGGAAAGAACGAGGGGAAGAGAGGGAGAGAGAAGAGAGAGAGAGGAGAGGAGGAGTGAGAGAGAGGAGGGGAGAGATAGTGGAGGGAGAGAGGGAGGAGAGAGGAGAGAGAGAGGAGAGAGAGAGAGAGGAGAGAGAAGAGAGGAGAGAGAGAGAGACGGAGAGAGAGGAGAGAGAGGGGGGGGGGGGAAAACACAGCTTTCACTCTGATATAAACTAGAGAAACAAAGAGAGAGAATGTAAGACAGAGAGAAGAGACAAAAAAGAGGGCTGGGCGTGGGCGAACAAGAAAGTGAGCAAAAGAGAGAGAGAGAGAGAAATAGAAAGAGAGAAAGAGAGAGATAGGGAGGGAGGAATGGAGCGAGAGGGAGGGATGTTCGGAGAGAGGGAGGAAACTCAGTGTTCTGACAGTGAGTCTTTGAGCGGCCGGGGCAGAAACAGACACCAGACAGACAATCCCTACGCCGGAGCTGTGAGGGACTGATCTGTGTGTGAGCTGTGTGTTTGGAGCAGTCAGAGCCAACTGTGAGCTTGTTGTGGTATGTAACTGTGAGTGTGTGTGTGTAATTGTGAGTTGTGTGTGTGGTACTGGGAGCTGTGTGTGTCGTAAAACTGTGAGATGTTGTGTATGTAACTGTGAGGCTGTTGTGTGTGTAACGTGAGCTGTGTGTGTATGTAAATGTGAGCTGGGTGTGTATGTAAACTGTGAGCTGTGTTGTGTGGAACTGTGACTGGTGCGTATGTAAACTGTGAGCGTGGTGATGAAATGTGAGTGGGTGTGTATTAACTGTGAGCGTGTGTGTATTTAACTGTGAGCTGTTGTGTGTATGTAACTGTGAGCTGTGTGTGTATGTCGAACTGTGAGGTGGGGGGATGTGTGTGTTAGTAACTGTGAGTGGGTTGTGTAGTAACTGTGAGCTGTGGTGTATGTACTGTGAGCTGTGTGTGTTGTAAACTGTGAGATGGTGTGTATGAAACTGTGAGCTGTGTGTGTGTTTGTAATGTGAGTGCTGTGGTCTGTACCTGTGAGCTGTGTGTGTGTGTAACTGTGAGCTGTGGGTGGTGTACTGTGAGCTGTGTGTGGTCTGACCGTGAGGCTGTGTGTGGATGTAACGTGAGCTGTGGTGGTGTAAAGGTGCGATGTGGTGTGTCTATAAAGTGAGCGGTGTGGGTATGTAACTGTGAGCTGTGTGTGTATGTAACTGTGAGCTGTGTGTGTATGTAACTGTGAGCTGTGTGTGTGTTAACTGTGAGCTGTGTGTGTGTCTGTAACTGTGAGCTGTGTGTGTAGGGTAACTGTGAGCTGTGTGTGTCTGTAACTGTGAGCTGTGTGTGTCTGTAACTGTGAGCTGTGTGGTCTGTAACTGTGAGCTGTGTGTGTCTGTAACTGTGAGCTGTGTGGTGTGTGTAACTGTGAGCTGTGGTGTGTGTGTAACTGTGAGCTGTGTGTGTGTGTAACTGTGAGCTGTGTGTGTATGTAACTGTGAGCTGTGTGTGTGTGTAACTGTGAGCTGTGTGTGTGTGTAACTGTGAGCTGTGTGTGTATGTAACTGTGAGCTGTGTGTGTGTGTAACTGTGAGCTGTGTGTGTGTGTAACTGTGAGCTGTGTGTGTATGTAACTGTGAGCTGTGTGTGTATGTAACTGTGAGCTGTGTGGACGCAGTAATTTCAGGTCACAATTTTCAGTCAGGACTGTAATGAACTGAGCTTGGCTGAACTGAACAGGACTGGGCTTGGTTCGGGCTGGGGCTGGAGTGGGCTTGGCTGAACTGAACAGGACTGGGCTTGGTTCGTGCTGGGGCTGGAGTGGGCTTGGCTGAACTGAACAGGACTGGGCTTGGTTCGTGCTGGGGCTGGAGTGGGCTTGGCTGAACTGAACAGGACTGGGCTTGGTTCGTGCTGGGACTGGGTTTCGCTGGTCTGGTGAGGTCTGGGAGCTTGTGTGTCTGGTGAGGTCTGGGAGCCTCCATGACAGCGTGGGAGAGCTGCGATCTGTGAGGATACACACACTGAAGAGACAAGGACACACACACACACACACCGAGGAGACGACACACACACATCCTCATTTTGTCGAGACTATTTAGATCCCCCCCCCCCCCCCCCGTATTTTTGTCCTGACGATGGCATCATCTGTGGCTTATGTGTTGTTGCTGGTGGCTGCCTTCGTGCTGGGATTGTACCACGTCTTGGTGGAAGGGGGGTGTGCTGGGAGGTGCTGCCGGGGTTCAGACATCACCTGTGTAACGGCAGACTGGGGGATGGACCGGGTATACAGAACCTGCTACTGCGACGAGGGCTGCCTCAGGACCAAGGACTGTTGCTATGACTACCCCACCGAGTGCTCAGGTAAGGGAGGATGGGTGGAGTCACGACAGTAGTAATTGTTGTCACTATGTCTGTGTCCCAAATAGTACCCTATTCCCTATGTAACCCCATGTACGTTTTAGGACCCCTTTAGGTATATATAAAAAAAAAAAGAAATACAAATATTTAATTTGGCCTTTCCAACTATAGCCCAGAGAAATTCATTAAATAACACATTCATAAATGGCAAAAAATTAATCATAAGAAACAAGGTTTTGAAGTGTCTGTCCTATATCTAGGAGATATAAGAAAGATCAGGACATGATGTATATGTACACTACCAGTCAAAAGTCAGACTCATCCCAAACCATCTCAATTGGGTTGAGGTCGGGGGATTGTGGAGGCCAGGTCATCTGATGCAGCACTCCATCACTCTCCTTCTTGGTAAAATAGCCCTTACACAGCCTGGAGGTGTGCTGGGTCATTAACCTGTTGAAAAACAAATGATAGTCCCACTAAACCCAAACCAGGTGGGATGGCTTATCGCTGCAGAATGCTGTGGTAGCCATGCTGGTTAAGTGTGCCTTGAATTCTAAATAAATCACAGACAGTGTCACCAGCAAAGCACCCCCACACCGTAACACCTCCTCCTCCATGCTTTACGGTGGGAAATACACATTCGGAGATCATCTGTTCACCCACACCGCGTCTCACAAAGCCACGGTGGTTGGAACCAAAAATCCAGACCAAAGAACGCATTTCCACCGGTCTAATGTCCATTGCTCGTGTTTCTTGTCCCAAGCAAGTCACTTCTTCTTATTGGTGTATACAGTCTCCTCTGAACAGTTGATGTTGAAATGTGTCTGTTACTTGAACTCTGTGAAGCATTTATTTGGGCTGCAATTTCTGAGGCTGGTAACTCTAATGAATTTATCCTCTGCAGCAGAGGTAACTCAGGGTCTTCCATTCCTGTGGCGGTCCTCATGAGAGCCAGGTTCATCATAGCGCTTGATGGTTTTTGCAACTGCACTTGAAGAAACTTTCAAAGTTCTTGAAATGTTCCGTATTGACTGACCTTCATGTCTTAAAGTAATGATGGACTGTTGTTTCTTTTTGCTTATTTGAGCTGTTCTTGCGATAATATGGACTTGGTCTTGTAACTGTGAGCCGGTCTTTTACCAAATAGGGCTATCTTCTGTATACCCCCCTACGTTGTCAGAACACAACTGATTGGCTCAAACGCATTAAGAAGGAAAAAAGTCCACTAATGAACTTTTAAAAAGGCACACCTGTTAATTGAAATGCATTCCATGTGACTACCTCATGAAGCTGGTTGAGAGAATGCCAAGTGTGCAAAGCTGTCATCAAGGCAAAGGGTGGTGATTTAAAGAATCTCAAATATAAAATATATGATTCCATATGTGTTATTTCATAGTTTTGATGTCTTCACTATTATTCTACAATGTAAAAAATAGTTTTAAAAAACTAAAAAAATATTGAATGAGTAGGTGTGTCCAAACTTTTGACTGGTAGTCTATATATATATATATATATATATATATATACAGTATATACATATTTTATTTTTTAAAACATATTTAAGCCCTTTTTTTGTGTTGGCACAAAACTACCTCCATACTTCCATTCGTTTTTTAAACCGGTACCAGTTACCTTCAGACGAGTAGATCAAACCGTTTGGACGATACAGACGTTTTTCTCTAATTCCACTAACTGTTTACTCTGTCCTCTAACCTAGATAAAGAAAGAGTTAATCTACTGTACTTGCTCACAGCTGGCCAGATAGTGGTTACATCCCAAAATGGCACCATATTCCCTATATAGTGCACTACTTTTGACCATATCCCTATGGGCCCTGGTCAAAAGTAGTGCACTAAATAGGGTGCCATTTGGGACACAGTCATTATGCATTTAAAAGCAGCAAGTCCTGTAGGAGTCGAGTCAGACAAGCCGAGTGTACCTAATACCTGACACACACACACACACACGCACGCACGCACGCACACACACACACACACACACACACAGCCAACATCAAAGAGCCAGCACTCAGAGAGCGTGAGGACAGCATTGAAAAGAGAATGGATTAAATGGGTCAATGACTGGATTCAGCCTTAGTTACATTTAGACCACTCAACGCTGTACAGAACACTAATACTTCAAATCCAAGGTGCGTCACAAGTGGCACTCTGGTTCAAAGTAGTGCACTATATAGGGAATAGGGTGCCATTCTCTGGTCTAAAGTAGTGCACTATATAGGGAATAGGGTGTCATTCTCTGGTCTAAAGTAGTGTACTATATAGGGAATAGGGTGCCATTCTCTGGTCTAAAGTAGTGCACTATATAGGGAATAGGGTGCCATTCTCTGGTCTAAAGTAGTGCACTATATAGGGAATAGGGTGTCATTCTCTGGTCTAAAGTAGTGCACTATATAGGGAATAGGGTGCCATTCTCTGGTCTAAAGTAGTGCACTATATAGGGAATAGGGTGCCATTCTCTGGTCTAAAGTAGTGCACTATATAGGGAATAGGGTGCCATTCTCTGGTCTAAAGTAGTGCACTATATAGGGAATAGGGTGCCATTCTCTGGTCTAAAGTAGTGCACTATATAGGGAATAGGGTGCCATTCTCTGGTCTAAAGTAGTGCACTACATAGGGAATAGGGTGCCATTCTCTGGTCTAAAGTAGTGCACTATATAGGGAATAGGGTGCCATTCTCTGGTCTAAAGTAGTGCACTATATAGGGAATAGGGTGCCATTCTCTGGTCAAAAGTAGTGCGCTATATAGGGAATAGGGGTGCCATTCTCTGGTCTAACGTAGTGCACTATATAGGGGATAGGGTGCCATTCTCTGGTCTAAAGTAGTGCACTATATAGGGAATAGGGTGCCATTCTCTGGTCTAGAGTAGTGCACTATATAGGGAATAGGGTGCCATTCTCTGGTCTAAAGTAGTGCACTATATAGGGAATAGGGTGCCATTCTCTGGTCTAAAGTAGTGCACTATATAGGGAATAGGGTGCCATTCTCTGGTCTAAAGTAGTGCACTATATAGGGAATAGGGTGCCATTCTCTGGTCTAAAGTAGTGCACTATATAGGGAATAGGGTGGTGCCATCTCTGGTCTAAAGTAGTGCACTATATAGGGAATAGGGTGCCATTCTCTGGTCTAAAGTAGTGCACTACATAGGGAATAGGGTGCCATTCTCTGGTCTAAAGTAGTGCACTATATAGGGAATAGGGTGCCATTCTCTGGTCTAAAGTAGTGCACTATATAGGGAATAGGGTGCCATTCTCTGGTCAAAAGTAGTGCGCTATATAGGGAATAGGGTGCCATTCTCTGGTCTAACGTAGTGCACTATATAGGGGATAGGGTGCCATTCTCTGGTCTAAAGTAGTGCACTATATAGGGAATAGGGTGCCATTCTCTGGTCTAAAGTAGTGCACTATATAGGGAATAGGGTGCCATTCTCTGGTCTAGAGTAGTGCACTATATAGGGAATAGGGTGCCATTCTCTGGTCTAAAGTAGTGCACTATATAGGGAATAGGGTGCCATTCTCTGGTCTAAAGTAGTGCACTATATAGGGAATAGGGTGCCATTCTCTGGTCAAAAGTAGTGCGCTAATAGGGAATAGGGTTGCCATCTCTGGTCTAACGTAGTGCACTATATAGGGGATAGGGTGCCATTCTCTGGTCTAAAGTAGTGCACTATATAGGGAATAGGGTTGACCATTCTCTGGTCTAAAGTAGTGCACTATATAGGGGATAGGTGTCCATTCTCTGGTCTAAAGTAGTGCACTACAATAGGGAATAGGGTGCCATTCTCTGGTCTAAAGTAGTGCACTATATAGGGAATAGGGTGCCATTCTCTGGTCTAAAGTAGTGCACTATATAGGGAATAGGGTGCCATTCTCTGGTCAAAAGTAGTGCGCTATATAGGGAATAGGGTGCCATTCTCTGGGTCTAACGTAGTGCACTATATAGGGGATAGGGTGCCATTCTCTGGTCTAAAGTAGTGCACTATATAGGGAATAGGGTGCCATTCTCTGGTCTAAAGTAGTGCACTATATAGGGAATAGGGTGCCATTCTCTGGTCTAGAGTAGTGCACTATATAGGGAATAGGGTGCCATTCTCTGGTCTAAAGTAGTGCACTATATAGGGAATAGGGTGCCATTCTCTGGTCTAAAGTAGTGCACTATATAGGGAATAGGGTGCCATTCTCTGGTCTAAAGTAGTGCACTATATAGGGAATAGGGTGCCATTCTCTGGTCTAAAGTAGTGCACTATAGGATAGGGTGCCATTCTCTGGTCTAAAGTAGTGCACTATATAGGGAATAGGGTGCCATTCTCTGGTCTAAAGTAGTGCACTATATAGGGAATAGGGTGCCATTCTCTGGTCTAAAGTAGTGCACTATATAGGGAATAGGGTGACATTCTCTGGTCTAAAGTATTGCACTATATAGGGAATAGGGTGCCAATCTCTGGTCTAAAGTAGTGCACTATATAGGGAATAGGGTGCCAATCTCTGGTCTAAAGTAGTGCACTATATAGGGAATAGGGTGTCATTTGGGATGCATCCCCAAATCATTCTCTCATTGATTGAGTGTCATCTCCAGAATATTGAGCAGCTGGCTGAGCTGACTTTACACACCCCTGCCTTACATTCTTCAGACTTACAGGGATAGTTTAGTAAGCTGCAGACCCCCGGTCGTCAAACAGGGATAGTTTAGTAAGCTGCAGACCCCTGGTCGTCAAACTGGGATAGTTTAGTAAGCTGCAGACCCCTGGTCATCAAACTGGGATAGTTTAGTAAGTTGCAGACCCCTGGTCATCAAACTGGGATAGTTTAGTAAGTTGCAGACCCCTGGTCGTCAAACTGGGATAGTTTAGTAAGCTGCAGACCCCCGGTCGTCAAACAGGGATAGTTTAGTAAGCTGCAGACCCCTGGTCATCAAACTGGGATAGTTTAGTAAGCTGCAGACCCCTGGTCATCAAACTGGGATAGTTTAGTAAGCTGCAGACCCCTAGTCGTCAAACAAACAACGCCTATGTTTTCACCTCAGGGGTTTTCAACCACAGGGTGTGCAGGGTTTTGTTCCAACCTACCACTAACAAACCTGATTCAGCTAATCAAAGCCTAGGTGATTTGTTGATGAGTTGAACCAGGTAGGTGTGTTAGTGCTGGGCTGGAACACAAGCCTGCACACCAGTGGCGGTCAGTGCCATTTAAGATGAGGGAGGACACATTTATTTTCATGAGCATGGCCTTATTTCTATTACAGCATATTGGATGACTTTCATTCATATTCCATTCACCCAGTTCAATGTAACATCGATAGGTTTAGGCTACTACATGATACTGTGATGAGGTGGTGTTGAAGGAGTCAGGCGCAGGAGGGTAAATCACAGAATAACAGGCTTTAATCCGCAAAATACAGGTTTACGCAGAAATGCGTCAAACACACTCCAGGGCACAAAACAGGCACGCTGGAAAATACAAGGCACACGGGAAATACTCCCGTCGATACAAAATACACGAGCTCCACCGAGCTTCACTAACCTCTACAATAAACAATCACCCACACAGACAAGGAAGCAGAGGGAACACTTATACAATGACTAATGAGGGAATAAGGACCAGGTGTGTGTGATTGAAGACAAGACAAATGGAGTGATGATAAAGGGATCGGCAGTAGCTAGTAAGCCGGTGACGCCGAACGCCGAAACCTGCCCAAACAAGGAGGGGAGGCAGCCTCGGCGGAAGTCGTGAAAGAAACTCTAATTTTCCCTATCATTAGTCCAACAAACGAGAGTTTCTATTGGACAAATTCAGGTATTTTTATTCCCGTTTTGTTCCGTTTGCTTCCGTTTAAGAAAGGTTTTTCAACAGAATCGATGGAATGAATACACCCCTGATCACGCGTAAACACAGTTCACTTTCATAGCAGCCACGTCATATTCCTTCTTACATCTATGCGCTCTCCTCCTCTCACCTTTTCCCATCGCTTGTGGACTTCAATGCACAACACATCAGCTATATGTGACCAGGCGAAAAAACCTTTCCAAGACAAACCGCTACACACAGCCTACATAATTGTCACCATATTAGCTAAAGTAACGTCATAGTCAGCATAGCTAATAGAACTAAAGCGTTAGTAAACCCGCTACAATCAAGCAGTAATGTTACAGTGTAAACATAAACACCGGCGGGCCCCGGAGGCAATAAATTAGTAAAGCTTACCTTGACTTGGAAGAGTTCCAGTGTTGTGTTGGATAGTCATAGCCAGCTAGCTAACATAGCATCCTTCTGTTTCAGCGGGGTGTTTCAGTAGGCTAAACTAGCTAGCTCCATTTGCTAACTAAGTAAGTGAAACTGAAAGTGAAAAAAAATGAGGAAATCTCTCTCTCTCTTGCTTCTCCTTCATTTTGGAAGAAATTAACTTGTTCAAAACTGTTCAACAACTCTCTTTCACCACTACTCACCACATTTTATGCACCGCAGTACTAGCTAGCTGTAGCTTATTCTTTCAGCACTAGATGTATTCTCTGATCCATTGATTGGGTGGACAACGTGTCAGTTGATGCTGCAAGAGCTCTGATACCATAGGTTGGAGGACGTCCTCCGTAAGTTGTCATAATTACCGTGTAAGTCTATGGAAGGGGGTGAGAACCATGAGCCTCCTAGGTTTTGTATTGAAGTCAATGTGCCCAGAGGAGGACGGAAGCTAGCTGTCCTCCGGCTACACCATGGTGCTACCCTACAGAATGCTGTTGAGGCTACTATAGCGTGTTTTAATCAATTATTTGGTGACGTGATTATATTTAGTATAGATTTATCTAAAAAGGATAACTTTTTTAATGTTTTACAATTGTTATGTTTATGAAATTCACTGAGGAGGATGGTCCTCCCCTTCCTCCTCTGAGGAGCCTCCACTTGTGATGCGTGATTTGAAGGAGTCAGGCACAGGAGGGTAAATCACAGTATGCAGAGTTAATCCAGCGTAACCAGTCCAGTGCGCAAAACAGGCGCACTGGAACAAACATGCTCACAGGGAAAAAACCCCGGAAACACAAAATACTGAGCTCAACCGAGCTGCTACTCCTCACAATGAACAATCACCCACAAGGACAAGGGGGGCAGAGGGAACACTTAAACACGTACTAATGAGGGGGATATGAACCAGGTGTGTGTAATTGACAAGACAAGACACATGGAAATGATGAGATGAGGAGGAAGTCGTGACACCACTGCCGCACACCCAGCCATTCCGCAGAACCAGGAGTGAATGAACAGAACAACTCACAACGCAGTTTGTTCCTTCCCAAATGGCTCTCCCTACTTTTTGACCTGAGCCCTATATGGGCCCTGGTCAAAAGTAGTGCATTACATAGGGAATAGGGGTGCCATTTGGGACTGACGCAGTGTATCTGTGTTGTCTCTCGTCCAGGCCAGTCGTGTGTGGTGACTGAGTGGAGTTCCTGGAGTGGTTGTGGCCAGCCCTGCCAGCGGTCCGTGAGGATCAGGTGATACCTGTGTTTTATGTGTTAGTCTTGTTTTGTCCTATTCCAAAAAAATAATGTTTTAAAGTATACAATTTTTTTAAAAAACCCAAAATCCATCAATCAATCAATCAATCAATCATTCAAGGCGTCGCTATATTGAGCAGGAGGCCAGGAACAGTGGAGAGCCATGTCCCAGTCTGGGGGAGCAGGCTGGCTGCATGGAGTACCGCTCACACCAGGGAGAGTTCTGCACTCAGAATACAGGTAAGGTAACACACACACACACACACACACACACACACACACACACACACTCACACCAGGGAGAGTTCTGCGCTCAGAATACAGGTAAGGTAACACACACACACACACACACACACACACACACACATAAGAACACATGCACGCAGGTACATACACACACACACACACCAGGGCCTACAACAGTGGTCACTGAGTCCCTAACACCAACCACACACACTCCTATCATATCTCTAAATACAGTGCATTCGGAAAGTATTCAGATCCCTTGACTTTTTCCACAATTTGTTACGTTACAGCCTTATTGTAAAATTGATTAAATTGTTTTTTCCTCTCATCAATCTACACACAATACCCCATAATGACAAAGCAAAAACAGGTTTTTACAAATGTTTGCAAATTTATAAAAAATAAAAAAATAAAATATTACATTTACATAAGTATTCAGACCCTTTACTTAGTACTTTGTTGAAGCACCTTTGGCAGTGATTACAGCATCGAGTCTTCCCGGGTATGACGCTACAAGCTTGGCACACCTGTATTTGGGGAGTTTCTCCCATTCTTCTCTGCAGATCCTCTCAAGCTTTGTCCTGTTGGATGGTGAACCTTCCCCCCAGTCTGAGGTCCTGAGCGTTCTGGAGCAGGTTTTCATCAAGGATCTCGATGTACTTTGCTCCGTTCATCTTTCCCTCGATCCTGACTAGTCTCCCAGTCCCTGCCGCTGAATAACATCCCCAAAGCATGATGCTACCACCACCATGCTTCACCGTAGAGATGGTGCCAGGTTTCCTCCAGACGTGCTGCTTGGCATTCAGGCCAAAGAGTTCAATCTTGGTTTCATCAGACCAGAGAATCTTGTTTCTCATGGTCTGAGAGTCTTTAGGTGCCTTTTGGCAAACTCCAAGTGGACTGTCATGTGCCTTTTACTGAGGCGTGGCTTACATCTGGCCACTCTAGCATAAAGGCCTGATTGGTGGAAGGGGAGAGGGGGATATCTAGTCAGTTGTACAACTGAATGCATTCAAATGAAATGTGTCTTCCGCATTTAACCCAACCCCTCTGAATCAGAGAGGTGCGGGGGGCTGCCTTAATCAACATCCAGGTCATTGACGCCCCGGGGACAGTGGGTTAACGGCCTTGCTCAGGGGCAGAACAACAGATTTGGACCTTGTCAGCTCGGGGATTCGATCCAGCCTTTCCACCTTTCAGTTACTGGCCTAATGCTCCTACTCGCTAGGCTACCTTCCGGAAGGGTTCTCCCATCTCCACAGAGAAACTCTGGAGCTCTGTCAGAGTGACCATTGGGTTCTTGGTCACCTCCCTGACCAAGGCCCTTCTCCCCCGATTCCTCAGTTTGGCCGGGCGGCCAGCTCTAGGAAGAGTATTGGTGGTTCCAAACTTCTTCCATTTAAGAATGATGGAGGCCACTGTGTTCTTGGGGACCTTCAATGCTGCAGAAATTGTTTGGTACCCTTCCCCCGATCTGTGCCTCGACACAATGCTGTCTCGGAGCGCTACGGACAATTCCTTCGACCTCATGGCTTGGTTTTGTGTGCCTTTCCAAATCATGTCCAATGAAGTTGTAGTAACATCTCAAGGATGGTCAATGGAAACAGGATGCACCTGAGCTCAATTTCGAGTCTCATAGCAAAGGGTCTGAATACTTATGAGGTATGTCTCTTTTTTTATTTTTAATAATTTGCAAACATTTCTAAAAACCTGTTTTCGATTTGTCATTATGGGGTATTGTGTGTAGATTGATGATAAAAATAAATAATTTAATCAATTTTAGAATAAGGCTGTAATGTAAAAAAATGTGGAAAAAGTCAAGGGGTCTGAATACTTTCTGAATGCACTGTATATCTATACACACTCCTGTTGACCTCTCGTAATGGTTTTAACATGGGGACTGTGAGGGTCTGGCTGTGGTTATGACATGGGGACTGTGAGGGTCTGGCTGTGGTTATGACATGGGGACTGTGACGGTCTAGTTGTGGTTATGACATGGGGACTGTGATGGTCTGGTTGTGGTTATGACATGGGGACTGTGGTCTGGTTGTGGTTATGACATGGGGACTGTGATGGTCTAGTTGTGGTTATGACATGGGGACAGTGATGGTCTGGTTGTGGTTATGACATGGGGACAGTGATGGTCTGGCTGTGGTTATGACATGGGGACTGTGGTCTGGTTGTGGTTATGACATGGGGACTGTGACGGTCTGGTTGTGGTTATGACATGGGGACTGTGATGGTCTGGTTGTGGTTATGACATGGGGACTGTGATGGTCTGGTTGTGGTTATGACATGGGGACAGTGACGGTCTGGTTGTGGTTATGACATGGGGACTGTGAGGGTCTGGTTGTGGTTATGACATGGGGACTATGATGGTCTAGTTGTGGTTATGACATGGGGACTGTGATGGTCTGGTTGTGGTTATGACATGGGGACTGTGATGGTCTGGTTGTGGTTATGACATGGGAACAGTGACGGTCTGGTTGTGGTTATGACATGGGGACAGTGATGGTCTGGTTGTGGTTATGACATGGGGACTGTGATGGTCTCTCTCCAGGTCCAGGTTTCATCACCACCATGGAGTTTGGTAAAGGAAGAAGGAAGCATGACATCTACGGCACACCTCTGGACCCTGGGTATGCTGCAATATCAATACTTATAAGCTCCTTATAACAGTGCTATGAACACATATAGCAAGTCTTATAATGCTCTTTTGATTCATTCCACCTGTCTACTCTTTAGTTCAAAAGGTTTCAACGGTCTTTCTGAGTGGAAACGTAAGCTTTTGCCCTCATACCCATCATCACAGGGACAACAGTGTTTGCTCACCTGGATATGAGGCTGACACACATACATATACACACTTGGGCGGCAGCTTTAAGATCCTAAACGGAACCATTTGAAATATAACACTAGTATTTAACAGCGTTGAAACATGAATAACATCACATGTACAAAGGATCTGGACTACAATGGCTACAAAGTTGCTCTGAACACACAGAAACCACAGACACACCCAGGGATGCGTCCCAAATGGCATCTTCTACCCTATATAGTGCACTACTTTTGACCAGGACCCATAGGGCGTGGTCACAAGTAGGGCACTACATAGGGAATAGGGTGCAATTTGGGTACACAAACCTAGTGATGAACCAACCTAGGAAAATTGATCCTTGGGGGCTCCCAAAATATAGTGCACTGGATCAAAGTTGATATCCATTTACTGCAGACCTACCGGCATGTCAACACTTACTGGGGCGGCCTTGACTTATTATGTGAAGGCCCAGCCAGCACCCCCTTGTCTGCGTCTCAAATGGCAACCTGTTACCTATGAACCCTGCTCAAATGTAGTGCAGTATATACGGAAAAGGGTGCCATTTGGGACAAAGCTATAGTGTGGAATGGCACATATGATATTTCAAACCCTCTTCCTGTCCCCCTCCTCCGTCACCTCTGTCAGGTTCTGTATGGAGTACAAGATGGAGTCTCTGACTCCTCACTGTACGGTGGAGAACCGGCCACACACCCGCTGGATGCAGTATCTACGGGAGGGCTACATCGTGTGTGTGGCCTGCCAAGCCCCCGCCATGCGTAACCATAGCGGCAGCTGCCAGGGAGACGGACAAGAATCTAACAGGTACGTGTCACGGAGGGATAATTTTTAAAAAAAAAAAGACATTTGTTATGATACAGAAAGTAAAGTAAGCCATGTTCAAGCCAGAATGGCCCATGTAGTGCAGATTCTGTAGTGTGAGGCAGCTTTGATGTACAAGCCCCTGGAAAGGATGCAAGTTGATTTGTTATTATAAAAAACACATTATTGTCGAATGAGAAATGCAAGTTCAATGTGTATGACTATATGATGCTACAGTTTATTTTAGTTTGCGGTAACGTTTGACTGGAGTACAAACCTAGCGAAACAGTAGCATGGATGAAGACTAGTGAGTATAGGATACATTTCTGTTTTTTTGTGAAACATGTTCACGTGAGAAAGGTTTCACACACAGACGCACAGTAGTTGTGTGGTCATCACAGTGTTCTCTTCGTGCCACAGTAGCCGTGACCCTTCACCTCTCCGGTTAGAACGACCTTTCAGAACAGAGGTATCTCCAGGTATCTTCCTGTATCACTGTCTGCCTCCACCAATACATTGCTATTAGCTTTGTGGGAAGTGCTGACCGAGTATCGAGAAACGTTTTGAAAATGTGAAACAAGTGTGTATTGTGAGCCATACTAACCTATGTCCTGTGTGTGTTGCAGTGAGGAGCTACTCCATTGGCAGACTGTGAACCATAGTAACCTATGTCCTGTGTGTGTTGCAGTGAGGAGCTACTCCATTGGCAGACTGTGAACCATAGTAACCTATGTCCTGTGTGTGTTGCAGTGAGGAGCTACTCCATTGGCAGGCTGTGGGGAACTCTCGCTGTCGAGGAACATGGAAGAAGGTCCAGAGAACTGCGTACTGCTCCTGTCCCCACGTCCACAGCTTCCTCTTCATATAAACACTCACCAAGCCCCAATCACAACTGGCACCCTATTCATTATATAGTGAACTACTTTTGACCAGGGGTCCACAGATAGGTTGGCCGACAACGTCACACAAATGATGTGTGCTCATAGACGGGGAATGGAAGCAAGTCCCCTCAGCAATGTTCCAACATCTGGTGGAGAGTGGAGGCTGTTATAGCAGCAAAGTGGGGGACCAACTTCATATTAATGCCCGTGATTTTGGAATGAGATTTTCGACGAGCAGGTGTCCACATATTTTAGTCACGTAGTGCATTTCTGACTTATTATTGTTATTATTATTTGGAACACTACTCCTCTCACTCCGTTTAAGCTAGAAACGTCATTCAAACTTTAAAACGTGTAGACCGGTCTGGATTGAGTTGCTTGTTGATATATATATATATATGTATTTTGTTTTTAACTATTAAGATTATTGTCATTTTTTGTCATCCCCCATCCACTTTCATGGGATTTCCTCAACATTCTGAAGGCCCTTTTGTGACAATCATTTCCAACATTCCATTAATTGTAAATGCAACTTTTGACACAAATCAGCTATTTACACCACTTTGCCAACAAGTTAGACAAACACTTAAGAGTGTAGGACACCACCTCTGCTTCTCTGCTATTCAAATCTGGAATCGTAACAAAAATATCTGGCACCATGCTAACGATACAGCTGTTTTAGTGACCAATACATTTTCTCCCAGATTTTTTCCAAACAACTGAAATTTCCACAACTTTCGCAGCACTTTAGACAAGTAGCCAGTCGATGCGAAAAGTAGCTGGCTAACGTCAAGTAACAGCTCTCTCATGTCTCGTCATTGAGCAGCCCAAACAGAGTCATATACATGCCGAGGAGCACATGGTGCAGAGCAGGCAAACATAATGAGGAGTGTGAAGAGGAGGATTGAATTGAAACAATAGTCTAATGATGATGAAGAATTGTGAACACCAAGAAAGCAGCTACACGGAGGTGGCCAAGGCAACAACGCATCGTCCTCCTTCTCAGGATCGTGCCCCGCGCTCTAAATAACTCACCTGGCTAGTTTGCCTGTCTGTAAAGAGCAGGGCAGAAATATATAATTATTATTTGCATCAATCCAATGGCCATTTGTTTTGCGAACTATGCAATCACGAGCCCTACAGAAACATTGCTAACCGTACAAGGGTCTCCTGCTGGTGGACACTTGCATTAAAGGGCAACTACACACAAAAATAAAAACGTCTCCTATAGAACATCACATGTTTATATTTTAGAAGTGTGATTTTTTTGAGCGAAAACCTAAAAATAATGAAAATAACCTGGAAAAACTAAAAGGAGAAAACAGAATTTGGGAAAAAAACAGAATCAGGCAAAATTATTCAATGGCTTTCATAGGGCCCTATGTTGGCTATGTTCAGTTAACTTGTGTCCCCCCTGGGGGGGTGGAAATGCTCAGAAGGAAGGGCTTCCCCCTCTTCCCACTGATCCCCCTCTAGCACAGAGAGGACTTCATCCAAATACATTGATTTTTATTTATTTAAAACAATTCCTCCTTGTCTTCTATAGTCTATTACAGTATTCTAGTATGATAATGGATAAAAGTGTAGTTATTTCTGATGAAATGTGTGATCTAACTGCCCCACAAACCAAAGTAATAAGGTTAATATAGTAGTACATTAAAGTAATCAGACCAATTATTTAACTTAATTATATGTAACGGTCTTTGCTTTAAATAGCAAAGTAAAACTTTTAAAACTTCTATTACCACAAAATACTGAAGAGCTAAAGCAAGCTCCACAACTTTACTTCATGTAAAGTTACCATCTAGTTTGTTCTTGATACCATGTCATGTTTTGACTGATTTAATCTCAATGCTAATATGGCACCAATCCGCTAGCTAGCTAACCAACAAATGTAACAATGTGGTCAATGTGCAAATGTATTTGTTTTCAATAAACATTTGGAGACTAAATATAGTTTACCTGTTGTCAACAATGTTTTGCCCCATAGCTGCACACACACACACACACACACACACGTCGGTTTTTGTTGCAAGCCGTCTGGAAAGCCTTCGGAAACCCAGGCTTCTCACAGTGGTTCTAGTGAACGAGACAGGTTTTTAGGAAGGCTGGCCAGGTGAGAATAGGACCCTTTGCGCTCTGGTCAAAAGTAGTGCACTATGTAGGGAATAGGGTGACGTTTCAGCCTCAGCAAGCTATATTCATACCAAAACCCAACACCAAATCAAAAGTTATCTTTATTTAACAGAATGTTCTAAGAACACTTGTCAGTACATAGAAAAAGGATACAACAATCCAAAATGAGAGATTTGACTACTTTCCTATACACAATGATGCTTTCGTATTGTCACTTGATATTGCAGAAATAAAAAAACACACTAAAAGAAATGAAATATACAAAATAAATAACAGTGAACGACATCAACGTTATGGATTTCTCTTTTCTATTGAACATTTTGTTCAGATGGTTCTAAGCTTTGTTTCTTTAGCCATTGACAGCTAGAAGCCATTGATAAGTTAATTAAAAAGGATAAATAGTTTTGTAAAAATATTAAATATACAAGTTCAGCTGCTCTTGTCCACAGAAGGATATATAGCGCCCTCTGCTGGTTACTGGTAGTAACAACCTGCCTGTTCAATCTGTTTTCGGGTTGTAGGCAATGCAGCTTCTAAATGCAACGTTCTGGTGTTTATGGAGATGTAATTTCATGGTAAACCCGGCATACTACCGCTCCATCGGATTGAATCCCAGCCTTGGTTAAACGTACTCTCTCAGACACACTTAAAAAAAAAAGTGGCAGCTCTGGAAATACAAGGACCCACGAGCATAAACTATTTACAATCCCTTATATAAAAAAACTGTACAATGAGTGGTACCAATACTGTAGTTTCAAACTAGAGCTTGGAGAGAACCACGGGGATTGAACAATAACCCTATTTAATCAACTAGGCAAGTCAATCGTACGGTATATAAACCCCTGAGTCAACGAACAGACTTAGGCCAAAGCCACGTCCCACATGGCACCCTGTTCCCTATTCAGAGGTCCCATAATGCACTTCTTAGGGAATAGGGTTCCATGTGGGACACAGCCTTACTCTGTGTTGACTTTATGCGCCTTCTTGAGGATCCTCCAGCGGTCTTTGAGTTGAACCCCTGTGCGACCCTGGAAGTCGTGTTCCAGGAGGATGCGTGACCACTTCCCCTCCCCGTGACGCTTCACTCCCACCTTCAGTGCCCTGTCCAGATCCCACGGCCACTTCTACACAAAAAAGCAGTAGGGTTCACATAAAAAAAAAAAAAAAAGGGGCAATCTGGGGTTAGTACATCCATTTTGGACCTTTAAATTAACAACAGCCATTGATATTTGAAGAATATACCGTATAAATGCCTCATGAGCTTAATTAAAACTGTTGTACGCCATCAGAACCATAAATATAAACTTTATTTCTGGAACATTTAAAATTGGTTAATGACCAAGTTGTGCCCCCATCAGGGAAACGGTGTGCTAGTTGACCTACCCCATGAGTCTTCCTGTTTGTAGTGCTAAGAGTCGTGGAGTTCAGGGCCGTCTCAGAGGAGGCTCTTCGGTAGGTCAACCTCGTCGACACTGCAAACAGCATGACAGACAAACCATACAAATGAAAGTTGACAATTTATTTAACTTTGTTATTTTGGGTCCATCCATACGTCTACATTGTAGAATAATAGTGAAGACATCAAAACTATTTAGAAATAACACATATGGAATTATGTTGTAACCAAAAAAAGTGTTAAACAAATCAAAATATATTTTATATTTGAGATTCTTCAAAGTAGCCACCCTTTGCCTTGATGACAGCTTTGCACACTCTTGGCATTCTCTCAACCAGCTTCATGAGGTAGTCACCTGGAATGCATTTCAATTAACAGGTAGGCCATTTAAAATGTTAAATTTGTGGAATTTCTTTCCTTCTTAATGCGTTTGAGCCAATCAGTTGTGTTGTGACAAGGTAGGGGTGGTATTCAGAAGATAGCCCTATTTGGTAAAAGACCAAGTCCATATTATGGCAAGAACAGCTCAAATAAGCAAAGAGAAACGACAGTCCATCATTACTTTAAGACATGAAGGTCAGTCAATGCGGAACATTTCAATAACTTAAAGTTTCTTCAAGTGCAGTCGCAAAAACAATCAAGCGCTATGATGAAACTGGCTCTCATGAGGACCGCCACAGGAAAGGAAGACCCAGAGTTACCTGTGCTGCAGAGGAGAAGTTCATTAGACTTAACTGCACCTCAGATTGCAGCCCACATAAATGCTTCACAGAGTTCAAGTAACAGACACATCTCAACATCAACTGTTCAGAGGAGACTTAGCCATGCTGGCTACCACAGCATTCTGCAGTGATACGCCATTCCATCTGGTTTGCGCTTAGTGGGACTATCATTTGTTTTTCAACAGGACAATGACCCAACACACCTCCAGGCTGTGTAAGGGCTATTTGACCAATAAGGAGAGTGATGGAGTGCTGCATCAGATGACCTGGCCTCCCACAATCCCCCGACCTCAACCCAATTGAGATGGTTTGGGATGAGTCGGACCGCAGAGTGAAGGAAAAGCAGCCATCAAGTGCTCAGCATATGTGGGAACTCCTTCAAGACTGTTGGAAAATCATTCCAGGTGAAGCTGGTTGAGAGAATGCCAAGAGTGTGCAAAGCTGTCATCAAGGTAAAAGGGTGGCTACTTTGAAGAATCTAAATATAAATTCTGATTTGTTTCACACTTTTTGTTTACTACATGATTCCATATGTGTTATTTAATAGTTTTGTGTAGGTGTGTCCAAACTTTGACTGGTACTGTACATTACATCTGGATAGATAGTAATTATACATTGTGTTTTCAGTCAAAACTATTATAGAACATGAGCATTTAAACCCAACTTTACATGGACAAACAGCATGAGAGAGAGGGTACATTTTACATGGACAAACAGCATGAGAGAGAGAGTACGTTTTACATGGACAACATGTAGCTGGTTCTTCCACTTGGCATTATAACTATGTTCTTTCTCA